AATGGGTGACAGTTCTCTCTCACCAATCATTTTTTAACATTTTGATGCATGTCTATGATCCCGCTGGAGGAACAGAAAAGTTTACTGGCCCTCAATTTTCCGATGATGAATGGAACACTCTAAATGTGCGATTTCTGTATGAGGTATAGTTCATTTTAAGCAATTCTAGTAAATGGGTGTCACTGATTAGGACAAATAGTCTACTTGTGCAATAGCACAAATGGTATGTCTCATTCTTCTGGCCTCCTTTGAGACAGAAAAGAAAGGGGACAACAATGACCCTGATAAACCTGGAATTGCTACTGTTTAAAAAAGAGCTATTATATAATACACATTATCCAACACACTATTGACTTGATGCTACTAAATCATTTCTGTATGTTTAGCATTGCCCTATTAATTAGAAATGTATGTCATGCTGAAAAACCTTTATACGAAAAGACAGTTTCACCAGAATCCCTTCCCCTTTGACTTATTGTTTTCAGAAAAATACGTTTTACTCCAGGCCAAGAAAGCCGTTTAACACATTAACAGAGACTTTCTGGGTCTGACTCTTGAACACTAAACTTTGACTGACTTAGGCAGACCTAGCTTGAAGAAAGGGCAAGAATATTTGTTCTAGCTTGATTTTTTTCAGCTTGCTAACAACTGATACTGACACAAGGTCTGATCAATAAATAACCAATACTGTAATAACAGTGACTGTAAGTTGCTTCAGGACAACAGCACTTAAAAGAAAAAAAAAGAAATGCAATATATATGAATTAGAAATGCTGAGGATTTCATTAAAATGAATGTAACTGTGCTTTTTTTTTTTTAAGGCTTTCCAATAAAGTCATGGATCTATTCTATATATTTTTAGCCTTCATTTCGCAAAGTCACCAGATTTCGTCCTTCAGAACAATAATTGAATATGAACAAGAAATAATCAGGTGATTTAAATTTAACTAAGGCATTCGAGTGGAGTTTAGCATAGTAAAAATAGTATGATTTGTGGGAGGCAATTAACAATCATTTGCTCTGTGGATACAAGTAATTTGTTTAAAGAGCACTGACCTATGAGACAGCTAGTTTGTGTTGGCTGTGATGGAAGGGAGCTATTGACTCTAAACAGTGTAACAGCGCCATTGACAGAATCGCATTTGAATGCACACAAAAGATCTCCAAAATACTTGAGGAACATGAGATCTTTCAGACGGGGAAGTGGGGTGGGGGTGAGCCGAGGAAAGCAGCCAACACTGAGGTCTCCACACCGAGGGGAAAACGAGCCAAACCGAGAAATCTGGACAATGTAGTGAGTAAAGAGGGCTTCCCCCCCTTGGTGCCGTGCCAGCCCGGCCGTCCTCCGCGCCATAAATACTCCATCAGGAGGAACACAAACCCTGAGCGATTGCTGCTTGAGTAATGGTTTCATAAGCTTAAAATTGAATGCAAGTCTTTGTGCAAAAGAATCATTCTTATGTTCACGTCCAGCAAATGCATTGCAGGCCTGGGAATGGGTCCATGTATTCAACATTCACGCATTCCCCGCCTCTACTGGGGACATGTTGGCAGTCGAGTGCCAACGCCTCGTGCAGCAACCAGGTCCAGTCCACTGCAAAGGGTCTCTTGTCTCCTGACAATTTGGGGCATTTCCTCCACTGAGCCAAAGGAGTCGCCGAAACAGGGACGTGCAACAAAAACCTCAGGGTGGAAGCAGCCACCATGAGAAGTTCCAAGTGCCACAAATCATTATTTGAAACTATTTTAATATACTCTAGGTCAGGTTGTGCATCCTTTATTTGCCAGGGAATCATTATGCAAAATATAGACTTAGAGAAAACAGTGGCACAAACACACTGTAAACACAGTCCTGCTGCTCAGCTGAGAGCAAACCAACAGGATCTGCACAGCTTAAAATATGTGTGTAAAGGTGCAATTTTATCTGTAACATAATTTCATTTTGAAGCATACAAATCACAATTTGCCATAATCAAATAAGGCTGCAGTGCTTATATTCTAATTAAAAAATAATCTCTGATATTTAATTTAGAAACCTGGAAGACTTTACCAGCAAAATTATGGCTACAACCTGCGCCGACCGCTCAATTTACCCACAGACAGCAAATTTTTCAGGTAGCACTTTTAAAATTATTATTAAACAAGCAAATGCTGCACCGCTCAATATATATTAAAACAAGTATTGTACCCAGTTATTAATTTGCACTATTCGCTTTTAAATGCAGCAAATACCTCATTAATTTAATTTTAGGTGCCCACCAGTTTATATTGCATTTTACAGTCTAGAAGGCAATTTACTATTAACTGGCAATTACATACAGAATGATTGTTAATTCTGCTCCTAAGTGCTAGCTGCTTGAAAATTGTTATCTCTCTCTAATTTTTGACCTTCTTACAACAGGGGTGAGGTACACTGGGAATACAAAGGACTAGTAGAGAAGAGCTGGACATGTCATTTGTGACTCATTCTTTTAATTCACCGTGCTAATCAACTGAACTGCCACAATCTCCCAAGGTAATTGTATCTTTATAATAGTTGAAAGCAGCGGGCAAAAAGGCATGGATAGATGGGGAAAGGCCTTGCCTTTGCCTGCTGGGAGACGCCGCGCTCCTGCCTCTGCGTCAGGCTATTGGGGGCTTTGGAGAAAAATCTGGAACTTTCGCATCTCCCCACCCTGAGTGTTTCATGTCTCAACTTCTGCTCTCACAAAGGCTTTGTACACCACACTACACTCTTGTTTCATTATTCTGCAGCCTTGTTGCCCTATGGTCCACCTCCTGCTGGGAAGGTTAAATGTTAGAGTGCCAAGCCAGGCTGCAAGCATGGTGGGACACTGATGGGAAACAGATGCCCTGGGGACCCGGCCCCTCCCTCCACCAATGCTACAGCATTTTCATTTTCTGAAATACAGCGAGGCTTGGCTTCCCTCTCAATGGCAGCTGTAATTTCCAAAGACTATCTCAGCCACCCTATCACTCCAGGATAAAGCAAAGCAGAAGTTTTTCGGGCAGGCAGGCGCTGGCTTTATCTCTTTATTTTCTTTTTCCTGGGATATTGGCCTGTGTTTCCCCCAAAAGGTGTTTTAAATGTATATTCCCATTAAAGTAATGTAACTTTATTATAGTTTTATTCCAGAGGGGGAAGCTCATGACATTCTCACAATCCTCTTGAACATCTTTACTTAGCGATAAAGACAAAAGACAACTCCAGGAAAGAAGAAACAAATGTCCTTACAGTTCTATACACATGTGCATTTACACATCAGAAAGAAGTTTGAAACAGCAAAATTAGCCAAATTTGCAAAATCTGCACCCAAGAAATCAGTTAAAGACATTACTCTAAAGCAAGTCAAAATTCCAGGCCTCTGCCCTGAGAGCCAGAGCGTCATCTGGTTCAAATCTGCAGCACTTCCCTGCACGGGGTGGAACTACACCAGCTCCCAGCAGCTCAAATATCTGGAGCTTGGGCTGAGGCTTTTAATTCATTCATTTTTTTTATTTTGTTGGACACTTAGCTCGTCATACTCATCAGGCCACTCCGCTGTAGCTTAGCACAAAATACACACACACACACACACACACACACACACACGAAACACACATATATATATAAATTATAGTTCGCAAGAGCATTTTTAAGCCTGGTCCCACCTGCACTCATCACCTTTGCAACAGCCTGTGGAACAACCATGGCTTTTGAGATACATCATGAGCACCAAAAGCATCACAGTCACCATCATCCCATTTGGAAACTCTGATAAAACCCAGTCCTAAAGATCAATAAATGTCAATATTCTCTCCCTTGTCAGCCAGAAGTGAGGCACCCAGGTTTGGATGCCAGGGTTTTTGCTCAGGTTGTGATTTCTTTGGGAATAGACAGAATATAGGAATCTCAGGTGTTGCCATCACTTAAAAGTTCATTTCAGCAATAGATCTTAGGCAGACACAAAACCATATCCACGATGTGTTAACCGTTTTATAAGTCCTAGCTTAAAACTACTCAGAAACACACTTTTCCCATTAGATCTAAATTAATAGATAGAAACAGTTGCAGTCTAGTGGGAAAATATTCATCAAAATGCACATCATCTGCACATCATCTGCAATCTGCATTATCTACCCAATAAGCAGCGAGGACTCTCCCCAAATCCCTGCAGTCTGTCGAGTAAACAGTTAAAGGCTCTTTGTTTTCAAAAGAGAGATTGATTCATCAGATCAAATTTATTACCTAGAATTCTCATCCAAAAATACAGTAAATTAAATCACTCTTTCTCCCTTTTCCCTCCCAGCACCTCAGTTCAATTCATTGGCAAATGCCAGAAAAACTCTAATACACATTTCAGATAAAAAGCCAGCAATACTTCATCCCAAAATAAGAATTTTCATATTAAAACCACTGGAAACCACAAAGTTCCGACTTTTTCTTGCACTGTTGTAAATTAAAATCAAATGTATTTAAAAGAATTGGCACAAATAAATCATTCCCAGTCTTATGAGTTTGTATCCCAAGTTTCAGGTTTGAGAGAGTCTTTAGACCCAGGTTGTGAATAGGGTTGGATAAAGTCATTTGGATCCAGCAACAGCTTCTTGAACTGGTGCCTAAAATTTCAACTGAACCTTTAGGGAAGTTCAAGAAGTCTGGATAGATAGCCTGAAAAATATTTTTCATCACTCAGTACTTCTTAACTCCCTTCTCTGGCTGGAGCAGAGTAGGAAATACCATTGTTAACCTATTTCTGGCCAATATGAAAACAGGAAGTAACAGGCATCTTGTGAGAGAGCTTGATCCCATGGGACATCAAGACATTGTTAAGAACCAAGAGGTTGGATGGGCACCAGAGCTCCTGGGTGCCCATACGAACAGGTATTTTGAGGTCCAGTTACCACAAGTCACATTTCCTGCAAGACACATCCAATTTTAACAGCATTTTTAACTGCCCTTGTATCATTAAGAGACAGGATTTGTCATTCCAAGAGGAGGAAAGAAACCATACACTCAC